CAGCCCCTGAGTTTGACATGCCTGCCCTAGGAGGTGCTGGCTGAAGGGGCTGACCTAGTTACTGGCTCTGGGCCCTGACCCCGCAGGACGCCTACGACAACGTCACCCTGGACGTGGAGCTGGCTCGCCGCGAGGGCTGGTGCTTCGGCGCCAAGCTGGTGCGGGGGGCGTACATGGCTCAGGAGCGGGCCCGCGCGGCAGAGATCGGCTACGAGGACCCCATCAACCCCACGTACGAGGCCACCAACGCCATGTACCACAGGTGCACCATCCTCCTCGGTCCCGGGGCCTCAGGGCCACCTGGGGAGGGAAACCCCCCCTTCCTTGGTGCTGAAGCCAACACGAGGGGCCTCTATCCGAAGGGGGAGCAGCCCTGGAGACAGCAGCTTCTGTAAGAGCGAGACTTTTGCCCTGAGGCCGGAACCGGTTATTTTCTGCTTTTGATTGACTTTTTCAAAAACATTAAGGTCATTTTTAAAATGTATTTATTGATTTTTTTTTTTTTTTTTACAGAGAGAGAGAAAGAAGGGTGAGGGATAGAGAGCACACCTCCTTTGGAGACTGAGCCTGTAACCCGGGCATGTGCCCTGACCAGGAATGGAACTGGTGACCTCTTTGTTCTTGGGTCGACGTTCAACCACTGAGCCACACTGGCCAGGCGGCTTTTTTAATATAGAAAAGTCGACTAACACAACTAAACTGGCCTGGGTCCCCGGCAGCTCCTGTGGGCTGCCCAGGTAGCCCTCCCCGCCCTGCACTCACCTTGTTCCAGGCACCATCTTGGTCTCGTGTGCTGCGTAAGACAAACAGGTGACAGTTTATGCGGGACAGACAGGCTGGCCGCGTGCTGTTTCTCTACGAGGAGGTGCAGGTGTGCTGCAGATTTAAAGAGACCCCCGGGTGTCTCCCTCTGACCTGCCTTTCGGCCCCGGCAGCGCCCGGCATCCTCCCAGGAGCTGCATGCGCCTCTCGGTCAGACCTCACGGCTGCACACGCACTGTCTTCTGCCCTCGCTTTCCCGGTGAAGCTGTAGCTGGATCCCCCCGCTCGGCGTGCAGACCGTTAAGGGCCAGCGCAGGGTGCCTGTGCTCGTGTGTGTCCTGCGAGCGTGGGGTGCTCAGTGTCCTGTGTCAGAAGGGTGCCCCAAGGCACACGCTGTCCGTCTTTCGTGCCCAGGGGCGAGGACAAGCCGTGGCTGGACATGGAGCTGCTGGGCCAGAGGACACGCGCCTGCCCGGTTTTCACTGCCGGATGGCGCAGCGGCCAGGCTCCGGCACAGGAGCCCCCTCCCCTCAGGCCTTTCATTTCCCCGAAGAACCTTTCCGGACGGGAAGCCGCATCGGTCCTGGGCGCACAGGGCGCTGTGCCTCAGCTCGTTCCCTCCGATGCCTAGCCCCGTGCTGCTTGCTTTTTCCTTCCTCCTCATTGTTGCCAAGAAGGCCGCGTGCTCCTGGTCCTGTCCTGGCACCCGGGGCACCTCTAGGAGGATGGGCTGGAGCGGCCCTGGGCCCCCGTGGCCTTTGCCCCGCGGGGAGCTCTCCGGCCCAGGCTCACGTGCCTCTCCCCCCAGGTGCCTCGATTACGTCCTGGAGGAGCTGAAGAACAACCCCAAGGCCGAAGTGATGGTGGCCTCGCACAACGAGGACACGGTGCGCTTCACGCTGCGCAGGTAAGGAGTTCCCCCCCCCCCCCCCACACACACACAGCTGTCTGAGCGCCCCCGGGTCAGCGAGGAGCTTGGTGAGACCCGGGAAGCATGCACAGCAGACACGTCAAACTCAGAGGCTAGCATGGGCCAAACAAATGAGACATGCGGCCCGTGGCCCGTGAGTTTGACATGCTTGATGTACAGAGTGCCCTGCCAGGCACGGTGGGTGCTTGTGGGGAGAGGTGGCTTCAGTGCTTCCCAGGCCCTGCCCCACCAGGCCGTGCTAGGCATTGCACTGCTGTAGCAAAAAGGCAATTTGCAGTTAATTTGGTTTTTAAAATTAATATCTGGCAGACTGAAATTTCAGATTCAAAAAATAAATGTCAGTAACTAGCTCCTTAAAATGCACAAATACAGGGTGGAATGCTGAAACCCCTCAAGAAGCCCCTGTGCCGGGCCTCTTTAGAGACGGCTGCTCTTAAGCTGCATTTGGAATTTAACAGTCTGTTTTCTCTTTAACGCCTGCCCTGTGGAGCAGACCTGGTGGGATCCTTACCAGTCAGATGTAGGAAGCAGGTGAAGCAAACTTAAACACCCCAGTATTGCCGCCAGGCTCTTTCACCTGTGTCTTGGCCCGAGCGGTGCCACGCCAGGGGCCGGGGCCCAAGTGCCCACCTCTCCCCAGCCACTGCCTCCGGGGGCTGAGGCCCTGCACTGAGTCTTGCTGGTCCGCAAGTTTCCCAGGAGTAAAGCAGGGGCCCCCGTCCCATAGCAGGGACTCCCCAGGCCCAAGGCTTGCTGCTGAGCGGGGCTGCCTAAGGGGGCAGTGAAGGCACGGGGGGGGGGGGGGGGTGTGAGGGTGCTGCCTGTAGGCTCTGCCTGCAGAGCTGACTCCAAACCCGTTCAGTCACGTCACCGCTCCTCCTCTGTCAGGACGGCGCTGCCTTTTCCGTCGGAAATGGCAATAAAAACCACGCCTCCTGCGCTGGGGGCCAGGGAGCCGAGAGCCGCTCGGGCCCACCTTCCCTGGGATGCGGTGTGGTCTCTGATCAGACCCCAGGACCTCACATAGCCCGTCAGCTTTGACCGAGGAACAGCCCAACACAAAACTCAGTGGCCGAGCAACAGTGTGCTCTGTGGGCCTGCAGAGTGGACTGGGCTCAGCTGGGGCATGCTTGGCCTTAAGTGGCCTCATCTGTGCCCAGGACAGCAAAGGGGGCTGCCTCTCCTGGCCAGTGTCCAGCAGCCCCTTTCCAGAAACACAGTGGCCCTGGGGGCTGGTGCCTGCTGCTTGGACAAAGCAGCCAGTGAGGGGAGGCCAAGGGGCCTGGTCGGGCGTGAGGGCTGGGCATGGAGCAGAAGGGCTGGGAAAAGGGGCAGTGGGAGGGCCCGAAGCTTCCCCGAGCCACACCATGGGGCGGGCTGCTGGGCAGGCCTGCCTCGTTGGGTCAGAGTGCCACTAGGGGAGGCTGGGACAGGCAGGAGGAAAGGGGCCATTGGGCGTGAGCACAGCAGGAGGGAGGTTGGCTTGGGAAGGAGGGAACTTGGTAGCCACGGCCTGAGGAGGGAGCTGCAGGGCAGAGGCCCAGTCTGGGCAGGACAGAGCGTATAGCCCTGCAGAGAATGGCGGTTAGAGCATGTGGATGGGGATCTGGGCTCAGAGCTGGCCCAGGGGCTCACCTGCTGCCCTGCCTGGTCACAGGATGGAGGAGCTGGGCCTGCACCCCGCCGACCGCCAGGTGTACTTCGGACAGCTGCTGGGCATGTGCGACCAGATCAGCTTCCCGCTGGGTGAGCTGGTCCTCCCGGGCGGGGGGGTGGGACGGGGGCGTGGGGCCGGGCTCACGCCTCTGTCTGTGCTGCAGGCCAGGCGGGCTTCGCCGTGTACAAGTACGTGCCCTACGGCCCCGTGATGGAGGTGCTGCCCTACCTGTCCCGCCGCGCCCTGGAGAACAACAGCGTCATGAAGGGCGCCCGGCGGGAGCGGCAGCTGCTGTGGCAGGAGCTCAAGCGGAGGCTCTGCACAGGCAACCTCTTCTACCGCCCGGCCTAGCCCCGGCACCGGCCCGACTTGGTTTCCCAGGCCTCAGGCTGGGGTCCGGCTGGCCCCGAGGCCGGTGCCACTGCAGCCCAGCCGCACGCGGACTCGCCTCTCCACACCCAAGGCTGTAAGGGCTGCTTCCCCCAGGACGTGGGCACCCAGGCACAGGCGGTCTGACACCTGCCAGAGCCACTGAGGTCAGGAACTGCCCACCCCCCTGACCTTGGACCTGAAGGCCCACTTCCCGCCAGGGTCTGTCCCACACACCGTGAGCCCCGCAGGTGGGCAGCCAGGCTGAGGGAGGTGGGCTGGTCAATAAACCACTACTGCCGCCGCCGCCGGGAGCCTCCGCGCCCTTTCCTGTGGGGCCTCAGGTGGGTGAGCTGAGAGGGCGTGGCTCAGGCCTGCACCTCAGCCTGCCTCTCCCCAGTCACGCGTACCTGGGCGCCAGGCCCAGGCTTCCACCCAGGCCGAACCGCAGCCCCGCCGTGCAGGGTGCTGGACTCCAACTCCACAATCCAGGCCCCAGACAGGAGGCCCCGGATTGGGCGTGGTGCTTCCCACCCTGGTCCCTTCCCTCACACCCATCCTGCTCCCTGAGCCCAGGACCCACACCAGGAGCAGGGCCATGGCTGCCGCCGCCGTGTCCCTCCGCGGCCAGCCCCGTGGGGCAGACTGGCTGCCCCGTGGTGCCCCGGGGAAAGGCGGTGGGCCTGTGACTGCGTGGGGACAGCCCCCGGCAGCGGCCTCTGTGACAGGGTGGGGCACCCCGGAGGTTCCTCTGTGGGCCGTGGGGCTGCCAGGTGAGGGCCCAGCGGGGCCCTGGTCATGACAGACACCACAGAGCTGTCACACAAGCCACGTGGAGGCCGCACTGAGGCACCTTTATTTCTCTGGCTCACACAAGCTTTGGGCCACGGGGGCTGTGTCTACCAAGAAAGGGGCCGAGACCAGAAAGAAGCACAAAGCCTGGGGCTTGGCAGCGGTCGAGATGCGCTTGGTGCCGGGTTCTCTAGCCCCACCCTCTGCCCAGCTCTGGTGCAGCCAGCCAGTAGGCTGGCCTGTTCCCCCTACCACCCGGCTCTGGCTTTAGATATAACCCCCGCCCGCGACAAGGGCGGGTGGCAGACACAGCCAGGGCTCACCCGGCCTCTCCTCAGAGGTGACCCTTCCTGCAGGCACCGAGGCAGGCGGTTGCCAGACGCCGGGAAGACGAGTTCCTCAGCTTCCTGCACTCCTGGTGACAGTGGGACAGGACTGGCCTCCCAGCCAGGATGGGCGGGCGGGGGTGACTGCAGGGACCCCACCTGGTCACAGGGCTGCCTTCCCCGCCGCGCAGCCCCTCTGCTGCAGCTTCCGGATGAGCTCCAGCAGGTTCATCTGCAGTGTCAGCTCCTGGGACAGAGGGCCGCTGTGAGGCTGGAGGGACACCGCGGCCCCTTTGCCCCAGCCAAGGCCCAGCTAGAAGCCCTGTCCCCACGGCCCAGGAGCAGACCTCAGGGCCTACAGTGTGCCAGGCAGTGAGCCGGCCACAGCCTCCAGAGGCTTGGGGCACACAGATGTATGCAGAGGAGGGTCCCCCGGGCACAGAGGAGCTGGGGACGGTGAGCAGTGTCCCCGCACGTGTGGGCAGAGGCGGTGGGACCAGCCTCCGAGCTGAGCGCCGCACAGAAACTCATTTCCCTTCCTGCACACCCCCAGGCCTCCTGACCCCCATTCATACCCTGCCACTGCCTGGGCAACCACCCCCAAACTCCAGATGGGACCTGGCCTCTGTGGATTAGCGTCCCTGGGCTGTGCCAGGGCAGGCCCGGGACACTGACCTGCGGGTTGGTGGTCACATAGAAGCCAGCGACCCCCGCCTTCTCCAGTGTGCTCTGCTGGTCCGCCACCTTCCGGTCCAGCTCCAGGATGATCTTCTGGTCCATGGCCCGCTGCTCCTCACGGATCCGGTGCTCCATCGCCTGCCACAGTGAGGGCAGCTCAGGGATGCCGCCTCCACCCCCCAATGCCTCGCACACAGGGTCCTGGCCTGCCGTGGCCACCCTTCTGGAAGCTTGGGCTCCCTGCTGACTCCCCATCACCCCACCATTGCCCTTGCACCTCCGAGGCCATGAGCTCAACGGCCCCTACTCAGCTCCCGCCCTGCCCCGGCCCAGCCCACCAGGAGCTGCAGTCTCGGGGAGCAGGTGGAGGGGGTCACGCACACTTCCTGGTCCTGGCACGCCAACACCCCATGGGGAAAAGCCACGTGTAAGCACTCTCCCGCCCTCAGCAGCCCACCCCAGGCTGGGCCCGACAGCCAGCAGCTCCCGAGCCCCCGAGCCTCTCCTCCACGCCCTGTCAGCAGAGCCCGGGGGGCCCACCCTGCCTGCGCCGTACCTCCTGCTCCCGCTGCTGCGCGGCCTGGAGCACGGGCACGTTGTGGGGCCGGCAGGCCTGCTGGGCCTCCTGGTGCTTCTGCCGCAGCGCCTGCCTGAGCACTGGGGGGAAAAGCCAGAGTCCGTCAGGAGGCGGCGGGGCGAGGTGGAGGGGCCTGGGAGCAACTCCCCCTCAGGGCCTGCGCGACCTCAGCACCAAGCTGAGGCCCAGGGCAGCCAGGCCAAAGGCGTGAGGCCCCAACTGATCACCCAGCTGCCCAAAGCCCTGTGCAAGCAGCTGAGGGCGGGGGCTGGGGAAGGGGGGGAGGCCCGTGGGACACCAAGCAGCCCAGCCCACTCAGTCCTACCCTCCCCCAGGCAGGCCCTTGCTCCAGAGAGTCTCCAGGGGACTCGGGAAGGCGCCATGCACTAGAGGGAGGGGCAGGGCAGGCTGGCGTGGGGTGGGTCAGGGCTGGAGCCTGGACTCAGGACCATGTGGATGAGAGACTTTGGTCTGGAGGCCTCTGGGCTCAGATGGCCACCGGCCAGCAGTCCTGGGTGTGACCCACCGAGATATCCCGGAGCCCACCCAGGCGGAGGCCTGGAGAAGGAGAGGGGTCCCTGTGCCCGAGCAAGGTGTGGCCTCTGCCCAAATGTTCCGAAGGACACGTAGCAAAGGGTCTGGAGAGTACCAAAAACTCCCCGCTAAGAGGAACTACGCCTTGAGCTCATTTCAGCAGCACAAAAACTAAAATTGAGACGATACAGAGAAGACCAGCATGGAGTCGAATAGGACTGGACAGAGGAGAAAGGCATCATGGGATGCAAAGAAACCAATCACAAAACAGAATATAGGACACCACACAGCCCACATCTTAGACCAGCAGGTGCCAAGTGGCTGTCGCTTCCCATAAAGGGGAGGTCCCCGGTCATAAGGAAGCACAAGCCCAAGCCGGTCCCAGGCAGGAAGCTCACGTTACAGCTTCCAGCAGAGCCCCGAGGTCCTCCCGCCAGCAGTTTGGTACCTGCTGTGCCCACAGCCTGCTGTTTCTTGGCATCGGTGCACACCTCGACTCTGGCATCTCTCACATTAAAGGAGTCTGGAACCAAGAGCCACCCTCAAGGCAGAGGCTCCAGAAAAAACGATCCCTAGTTGATGTGTACGCCACACGGAGGCAGGGTGTGAGGAGACACATAGACGCGGGGAAATGTCTCCTTCACGCTGTTTATTAAACGCTGCTGCCAATCCCAGGTCCACTCCCAGGTTCCCCTGGGTGAGCAGCCAGAGATCAGAGAGCGGCGCCTGCTGCAGGGGAGCAGGGGCAGGGCCTCAGAAATGGCCAAAGCGCCCACCTGCTCAGAGGAAGGGAGAAGCAGAAAGTCACAGGGCGCTGGCCACAGCCAGCAGCACCAAAACCGGTCCATAGGTTCTGAAGGACAAGCAGCAAAGAGTCTAGAGAGTAGCAAACACTTCCACCAGGTGGAGCCAGGCCTCGGCCCACTCCCGCAGCACAGACTATGTTGGAACGACACAGAGAAGATCAGCATGGCCTTTGCTCAGGGATGACATGCAAATTCATGAAAATGCTTTTAGTAAATGAGTAAATAGGATGAGGTGCAATTTATTAAAAAAAAAAAAAAAAAAAACCCTGGGGGAGGAGGCTGCAAGACGCTAATGGGGGAAAAAGGAGGACCGATGTTAATTCTTTAAACAACAAAGATCAAAAGGAAACAAAACCATTCCATGGGAAAATGGCAGGTTCCTTTTTTAAAAAAGAAAAATTATTGTGAGTGCTTTATCTGCTCCCCCATCACTCACCTCTGTGGAGATAAAGATTACCAACACGAGAGCACCTGCTACTTACTGACAGCAAGCATGAGCCTCCCGCTGCCGCCAGGTGGCGGAGACTCAATTGAAGGCAGGAGTGAAAGCTTTACATGGCCCAAGGCAGTGGTCGGCAAACTCATCAGTCAACAGAGCCAAATATCAGCAGCACAACGATTGAAATTTCTTTGGAGAGCCACGTTTTTTAAACTTAAACTTTTTCTAATGCCACTTCTTCAACATAGACTCGCCCAGGCCGTGGTATTTTGTGGAAGAGCCACACTCAAGGGGCCAAAGAGCCGCATGTGGCTCGAGAGCCGCAGTTTGCCGACCACGGGCCAAAGGTGTCCATCCCAATGGGAGGCTGGTCAGTGTGGGGAAGCTGCAGGTGGTCTGCCTAGAAGAGGGGCTGAGGCAGGGGAAGAGGAGCTTGAACACCTGCCTCTACCAGAAAGCAGGGAAGTGCTCAGAGTGATGGGACTTGTCAAAAAAGACTCGGGAGCCAGGCAAGTTCTCCCACTGGCCACCTGTGGCACCATTTGGGCATTAAAAGGAATGACGGGCTATGCATTTTGGGTTTGTGAGCATATGCATCTTACACTTCAACTAGCGGCTCTGTGCCTGGATTTGTGCACACTGAAAGAAAATTAATTGGAAGAAATATTTTAATACCGCCATTCCCCCTTTCCCTGTAATAGAAGTGTCAACCAAATTCACGATGGATAAGGACAGATGGAAACACACTCGTGCAACTGGTGAAGAGTCAACTTGGCCTTTTACAGAACAAACTTGCTTAATTAGACCTGCTTTCTGATGTAGCTAAACTTCTTCCACCCCAACTTCTCTTTCGGGTAATTGTCAGCAACACAGCAGGTTATTATTGTAGTTCACGCAGGGAGAACAAGGGTAAGATATTTAACTGCAGCAGTGTTTGCCTATATTCTGTGCAGCGGAAAAAAAAAAACAAAAAAAAAAACACCTGAAGTCGTTTTCAAGGTTTACCATTTATTCTTTTCAGTCGGGTCAAATTCCTAAATCTCCGTTTTCGGGCTAATGAAAAGAAAACAGGATTCCATTGAGTCTCCTAGCTACCTACTCCAGCACTTCTGTGAGGATCAAGTGAGCTGAGGGAAATGTCTCACAGACAGCTGCTTACAGTGTAAAGTGTTTCCACCTGGCTATAAAGCAAGCCGAGTTCCTGGCCTGAGAAACTGCTAGGAGGCCAGTGGCTAGGGAGAGGAAGTCAGGTGTTGCTACTTGATGCCATTACCCGGACGGAGGGAAGCACACTTAGCATATTAGCCTTCTATATAGATTACATAGATAGATTAAAATGTTTGCAAACATAACCTCCGGAACAGGGACGAAGTAATACTGATCCTACTCAAACTCTTCTGGAAAACAAGAGAACACTTCCCAGCTCACCCTAGGAAGCCAATATCACCCAGACACCCACACCAGACATCACAGAGAACTCCAGAGTGATGTCCATCGTGAACACAAAGACAAAAATCTTTGGGATTCTAGCGCATCGAATCCAATGGGGACCAAAAGGATAATACATCATGATCAAGTAGGATCTATTCCAGGAATACAGTGTATCCCAGGAATTAAAAAAACACAACGTAATTCACCATAGTAACCAAAAAGCTACTGATCATCTTAACAGATGCATAAAAAAGGTTTGACAAAACCATCACAGAAACACACGAATTCCTGGGCAGACGCATCTCGCCTGTCTCCACAGGGGAGGGACCTGCGTTACTAGAGGAATTTTTGCCACATGCCAGTCACCTGCATACCATCAGGCTCTGCCTGCCGCCCACTTTACAGGAAACACGGAGCGGGGAGGAATGGGTTAAGTGACAGCAGGAAGAAGCAATCTGACAGGTCCAGAGTGGGGGCAATCTGCAGGTAGGATGGATGCCTTAGGAGTTTTCAAAAGGTCAATGCCACAATAAATGCCGAGGACTTCCAGAAGCTGATCAATGTCTCACCGCTAACACTTGTCCAGCCACAAAACTGGATCGACCCATTTGCCACCAAAACCAAAAGCAAACCAAATCTAAGCAACCAAAACAACAACAACAACATTGTCCAAAGAAAACAATTGCATGAACGGACATCGAATCCTTATAAAGCGCAGACAACTGGAAACAAGCTAGGGAATGGCGTCCTGGACTGAAGGTCAGAGGGCACCCCTGAGGGATTAATTTCTCAGGAGGCTAGCTGGCCTCCATGGTTACACAGGAGAGTCACTGTTCTAGAGCGCGGGTTCTCAATCCTGGGCTAACGCTGACCCCCAAGAATGCCTGAGACATTGTGGGTGGTCATGACCGGGGGACTGGAGCCCCTGCCATCCGGTGGACAGCAGCCAGGGGTGCTCCTCCACATTCTGCTAGGCACAGGGCAATGTCTCACCGCTCCTTGACCAGCCACAAACTGGACTGACCCATTTGGCACCAAAACCAAACCAAATTTAACCAACCAAAACAACAACAAAAAATAAACGATAGCAAAGACTCCGCCCTTGATATGCTCAACATTAGGAACGTCTACCGAGCAACACCCAGGGAAAGGGGGCTCGGCCCTCAAGAGACCGCGAGCTCCCAGGGCAGGCTGACCGCCCTCCCGGAGGAGGAGGAGCAGGCCTCGACCGGCGCCCCGCCGCCCCGCAGCCCCGCGCCCCGCCGCCCCACGTACCTCGGTGCTCGTTCTGCAGCCGCAGGCGCTGGTTGTAGAGGCTCTTCTCGGTGAGGTGCTGGATCTCCAGCAGCCCCTGCACGATCTCGAACACGGTGCCGTCGAGGAGCGCCAGGGCCAGGTCGCTGAGCGTGGTGTAGGACAGGCGCTGCTGGAACGAGCTGTGGGCAAGAGGGGGGGGCGTGGTGAGCGCGGGCAGGGCCGGGCCCCGCCGCCACCGCAGCCGCCGCCGCCCGCCCCGCGGCCCGCACCTGGGCAGCTCCTTCACCAGGCTCTGCAGCGCCGACAGCAGCTGGTAGTGCCGCTCCTGCTGCCGGGCACCATCCGCCGCCTCGTCCAAGGAGCCTGCATAGCGCTCCATGGCGCCCGCACCCCGCCGGCTGCGGACTGGACCGAAGGGACGCTCCCTGCCGTAAGCCAGTCCCGAGCGAGGGCGCCCCGCCCCCTTTTGCGACAGTTTACAGCACCGCGCGGCCGGCTTTGCGCCTCAGCTCGCGTGAGATTCGCTCCGCCCCCTCCGCGGGAGCGCCTGGGCGGGTCTTGTGTCGTCCCCGCCCCTTTCCCTGCCGCCCCGCCCACGCAACCTCGGAGGCTCAACTCCGCAGCATCGAAACCCCCCGGTTTCCGAAGCGCCCGCCCAGCCCGCGGGGTGTCGGCTTTGACCCAAGCTCCGTTCCCAGCCCCTCCCTCTGGCTGCCTCGGGGCTGCGCGGTGCCAGGGCTCGTCCTGCGCATGCGTCTGGCTGGGGCGGCCCAAGGGTCCTGCGACCTCAACCTGGTGGCCTGGCATCAGGCTGGCATCCCCGCCCCTCGTCCACCTCCCCCCACAGGGTCAGCACGGAGAAAAAACCCTAGTTCAGTGCCTCATTCCAACCTTGAAAATAGATTATTAAAAATCCCGCCAAGACCGGTTTGGCTCAATGGATAGAGCGTCGGCTTGGGGACCGATTCCGGTCAAAGGCATGTACCTTGGTTGCGGGCATATCCCCAGTAGGGGGTGTGCAGGAGGCAGCTGACCAATGACTCTCTCATCGATATTTATAACTCTCTCTCTCCCTCCCTCTCTGTACAAAATCAATAAAATATATTTTTTAAAAAATTAAAAATCCCCAATTACACTTTTTATAGATTATAAAAATCTACCCCCCAAAAATCAGACTGCTGGATATTCTACTGTGCTCTTGTGGGCGGGAGGAGGCAGGAGATTCCTGTCTTGGAGAACTAGCATTGTCATGGGAAAGGGAGTGGGCTGAGGTGGGTCTGCCCAGTCTGGAATGGGTGGGTTCTTTAAAAATAAATTTTTTTAAATCATATATATATTTATATAAAATATAAAAAATCATATATATATAATTTTTTTTTTACTGATTTCAGAGAGTAAGGGAGAAGGATAGAAACATCAGTGAGTGATGAGTGAGAATTGATGGCCTGCCTCCTGCATGCCCCCTACTGGGGATTGAGCCAGAAACCTGGGCATGTGCCCTGGACACTCACCCACTGAACCACTGAACCAAGGCAGGAATGTGTGGGTTCTTGACTTCAGGCAGGAAAGAGTTCAATGTACAGTAAGTCCAGGTGGTTTTGAGAGCGTGCCTCAAACTTTGGGACAGTGACACAAAAGAAGGGCTTAAGATAGAAGCAGCAAGATGACTGACGGCAGGGAGCCTAGGCGGGGCTGCTGTGAGCTCACTAAACAGTTAGGCAAGAGGAGGGCCCTCGGGGCTTAGGGGACAGAAAGTAAAAGCACACAAGCCTGGGGAGAGGGGGCTTGGCTGGGGTGTGCAGTGGTCCTGGGCTTGGTCCCGAGCTTCTTACCTGCTTCCTGCAGGCGGAATTTTAGGGGAAGGCTCACTTAATACGCATCAGCTGTCCAGGTGTTTCCTTTTAAAATTCTGACACATCGACACGAGCCTGTAAAGGGGGTTGAGGTCTTTCTCTGGCCGGTTCACCTCTGACTTGGATTTGTCTGGCTCTGACTTTTCGTTGTTGTTACTTATTACCCCGACTTCATTCATTTGGGGGTTGGGCTGGCACTGATAGCACTATCTGGGTCTCTGTTACCTCTCTCTCTATCTAAGGTAACGTGAACTCCCGCGCTCTGGCTGGAGAGGAGAAATGAGCATCACCTGCTCTTCAGTGTCTGTGGTTGGTTAGGGGAGGACAGAGTATCGTGAACTCTGCGAATTGCTTGGCGGTTCATTTGTTTTGTCTCTGTTTTCCTCATCCACTTGTCAGGGGATCTCCTAGCTTTTTCCTAACCTGCCTCAGCACCATGCCTTCTTCATCGCAGTGAGAGGGAGTGAGGCAACATTGGGAAGGGGCTGCTCTGCAGAAAAATGCCAGAAATAGGGAGAACTTTGGGGGTTGGGGTTGAGAAAGAAAGACCAGAAAGAAGGCTCCTGCGCCCCACTGGAGAGGACGAAATGGTTAAAATGTCCAGACCCCTGGGGGCAGACAGGTGTCCAACAACCCGTGGGAATGCCACCGGGAAGGAGGGGAACCCGGGCCTGGCTCGGGGCTCCTCCTTCTCAGTATTCTCAAGTCGGCCTGTGCCAATCCCTGGCTGTGAGTGGGAACTTGGGGAAATCTTCTAGAGGTGCCTCCGACGAATAGAACCCTGAAGGGGGTCTTCGTATGGTCGACCCTCACAGGATTCCTCCCTCGCAGACACCCTCCCGGGCTCTGCAGCGGAGGCCCCGCGGAGGACGCTACCCAAAGTGGCCGCCAGGGGGCGCGCGGCACCGCGGCGCGGACGGCACCCCGGCGTGTGTGTGTGTGTGTGTGTGTGTGTGTGTGTGTGTGTGTGTGTGTGGGTCCCGGGCCGGCGGAGTCCCCTGCCGGCCCCCTGGCATCGGCCATCCTGCCAGGCGGCAGCTCCAGGGAAGGGACTTGGAAAGATTTGGGGACGTTCCGACCACCAGGCACCCGCACTCCGTAGGGGCGCTCTGCACGGATTTACCCGTCTGGCCGGAGCTGGTCCCCATCCGGAACGGGGACTCGAAAAGATTGGGGGGGGGGGGGTGGTCCAGTCCTCCGGAGACGCCCTCCCGTACCATCCCGTGTGGGGGTAGAGCGGTTCTTTGTCTCTGGAGTGGTAACTGGAAAAACTCAGAGGCGCCTTGACAACCGGGCCGCTTACGGGACGGCGTCCGGGCGCGGGAATCCTCTCCCGTTACCCCCCGGTCCACCCGGACCAGCAGCCTACAACCTGGTCCGGGAGAGCGGCAATGGAAACCCCCTCGTGTCCCTGCACGTTTCATCTCGGCGAATAGATGACGTGGGACGATCCCGTTTAGTGCCGCCGGCCTCCGCGACGTCCACGCGGCCTGCACCGCGGCCACGTCCCATCCATCGCAGCTTTCGCTGGAGCTCCCGAGGAGAGGCACTACCGAAACGAGGCCGCCAGGGGGCGCCCGAGAACCAGCACGAAAGCCGGCAGGATGGACCTGACCGCGGGCCGGCGAGGTTCGCACGGAGGCCGCCCAGGCAGCCGATCTCGTCGCTGCCCACCACGATCGCGTCTCTGGTGCCCGGGCAGGAAGCTCCCGGGCGGCAGGACACGACCCCGGCAGCAGAAGGGAAACTTGAAAATGTTTCTAGGCGGCTGCGGGGAAGGGGACAGACTCCCCCCCCACCCCTCCGCAAGTGACTCCCAGGCTAGCGCTGACCTTTTCTAGACTTGGGGAGAGATGCGGGCAGACCAGGATCCGGTCCTGGCTTCCCAGAGCTGTCCCCTGCCCCAGGGTGGATTTCGTCCACTTTTCTCGGGACTCGGCTGTAAAACTGAAATCTTGAAAGTACTCGTAGAAACATGGATGCATCATTTTTATTGACCATTTCAGGCGAAGGACCTTCTAAAGCATAAAACAAAGCCCAAGCCATATCGGAAAGGACTGATAAACGTGGCCAAATTTTAAACAAAATTGATCTTTGTGCGTATACCAAAGGCAAAGTCAAATGGCAACCAATGAGGAACATTGATGTCAATACACGTGTAATATGATTATCAATTTCAGCATTGCTTGGTATAATATCTACTAGAAAACAGGAAAAATAATAGTCATGGAGAGGGACCGGTTTAAATAAATCCCAGAACACCAATACAATGCAACACTATGAACTGGTTCATATGGTAAGGCCAGGTCAATACAAGAATGGAGACCACACAAAAGAAACTTCAAATACTGAATCAAGCAGTTCACTTAAGTGGCCACCAAGTGGTGCTGGTGACTTAGCAACATGGTTTAGCCCCCAACCCCCAGCAAAGTGAATTTTGCTTACGATTATATTTTGCAACTTTCTTAGGCCCCTAGCCATGGATTTTATATAGCTCCTTATATAAACTTTCAACTCATCATTAAAGCATACACTTTTTATAAAAGTGTTCTTTACAGCAAAATTGAAACAAAACAGTTTGAATATATTCAATTTGCAAAATTTATTGGGGGAAAAAAACTTATTGGGCACTTAGCATGTTGTGTCAGGAAGAAAGCATGGATAAGACATGGCAATCACAATATAAATGATTTTACACAGCCCTAAACTGGTTTGGCTCATTGGATAGAGCATCGGCCTGTGGATTGAAGGGTGCTAGGCTCGATTCCAGTCAAGGGCATGTACCTTGGTTGTGGGCACATCTCCATCAGGTGTGCAGGAGGCAGCTGATCAATGTTTCTCTCTCATCGATGTTTCTAACTCTCTGTCCCTCTCCCTTCCTCTCTGTAAAAAAATCAATAAAATATATATTTTTAAAAAATAAATGATTTACACAAATATAAACAAGTGATTTCAATATAAGAAAATCACTAGAATGTTAGCACAAGTATTTTTTGTTTTGTTTACAACATCTGGAATATATTAGCAGGAGTACAATAAATGCAGTTATTGAGTAAATGAAAGATTTGATGAATTAATGGTTAAACATGCTTATAGAAAGTGTTATGAACATAGTTTTTTTATGTTCTCTAGTTTTACTTAATTTTAAAATAAGTTTTTTTTATTTTTCTACAGTTGATATACAACATTATATTCGTTTTGGGTGTACAACAGAGTAATTAGACTTTTGTATATCTTATGATCACCCAGATAAACCTAGTACCCATCTGGACACCATGCATAGTTATTGCAACATTATTGACTATAGTCCCTATGCTGTACCTCACATCCCCGTGCTAGGACGATTTTGTAGTGACCCATTTGTACTTCCTAATCTCCCAGATTCCCACATGCCTAGACACAGAGGGACCTCCGGAGAGTAGAGTCCAGCTGACGGACAAGAGAAAGGGCGGGCTCACAGTGGTTCAGTGCGGCTCTAGCACAATTCCAACGAGTTCATGTAGGCAAGGTGCTGCAAACAGAGCCCGAGGGTATACCATATGCTTGGTGAATGTTAAGCCTCATTATCATAGTCAAGGGATAATCCACCTTCACACGTCTCCTTCCTTTTGCATATTTGGATGGGGGGGGGGGGAATTAAGGTTTGCCTCCTGTCTCCTCCTTAGTCCCTTCCATGCTGCAGGGCTGCCCTCAGCTCCATCCCAGCATGTCCTGCTTCTGACTGAGACTTGGAACACGCGAACTACCTTTCTTCTCAGTGCAATGCCACTGCTGCCTCAGGAATGTCAGCAGAGCAGCGAATGGGAGGAAACCCTCACCTCTCTTTGCTGCCTGGTTCCTCACACCAAGGCACGCTTTGAAACTAGGCCATGTGGCGGAAGAGTTGGAGAAATAGAAGCAAAGCAAGACATGCGGACTCGGTACTTTACACGACTCTCCCCACAGCCAAGAGAAAATGGCTGATAGAGGGTCTCCTCGAGGACGCCCCACGTTCCAGCCTCTGCTCAGAGGGTGCCCCACGCTTCTGGCTTCATCATGAGTCTTCGCCCCCACCTCGCCACATGGGTTGGTCTGGCCCAAGCTCTACCTTCCTGCCTATCGCTCAGGGCAGCGTGTGGGGATGTATTATTCCTCAAAACCCAAGCTATTCAACCAAGAACAGCAGCACCTTCAACCGAGCAGCTCAGAGTGGTTTTCGGCACTCGGATTCTGGATCCTTCCAAGTCTTCCCGCAAGTTGAGAGTGTAATATAACTTTTCTTTCTTCCTGATTCATTCATAGTTAGCTGTAACCTTCCCCACCCCCTTCTCTCTCTGCCATAAAGTCTAAAGTTACTTTAAAGGATAGAAGAATTTCCCCAAACCCTCCCGAATGCGCACATACCTCCAGGGCAGAAGAGAGGTAGCCGTTAACATAACCTCTATTAACTGTAGGTCACCTCTATAAACCTCTGTTAACAGAATGGAGGTAGCCGTTAACATAACCATAACAGGACACTGGGGCGCCTCCTTTTTCCTTCTTTTGCTTTCAGCCTTGGCATCCAGAGCCCAAGGAACTGACCCAGTTACAAGACCGCCTACCTCTTGGTTACTATTCCAAGGCCGAAGAGTTCTGAAACTTGGAAGTGAAATATTTTAGTTTTGATTTAACTTTCCATTTCAGACTATGTGAAGAACTCTTGGGTGTGAAGCCTGCTCTTGCATGTACATTTATGCATAGGAAAGAGACGATTTATGATCTTCCTAGCCAACCAATCTTCCTGGGTCCTGGAAGACTATCTTATCTGTGGCCCAAGGTATCAACCTTTGGTCTTTGCTAAGGCTGCTCCTATGGAAAAAACCCAACCAAACAACCAACCAAACAAACAAAAAACCCCTCACTCTCTTGGACCCTCATACCACCATTTGCTCATCTCCCAGCCAGACATGTCACTTGCAAGAACCCATGTATCCTAAAAGGATGGAACGTGTGGGGGCCTCATCTTATTCGTCTCTTGGGCCTACTATAGAGTCAAGTAAATTATAACCACTTCATCAATGCTAAATTTCATACAATGGGCAAGTGTAAGTAGTGCAAAAATAGTACAATCCCCAAGAAGAGTGTAAGCAAGATGCTTTCAATTTTTCAAAGTGGGGAGAAGACCCGACTAGAGAAACAAGATGAAAATCTGTCTAAGCCCTAACCGATTAGGCTCATTGGATAGAGCGTTGGTCTATCCAATTCCAGATTCAATTCCGGGCAAGGGCACGTACCTTGGTTAGGGGCACAGGAGGTGTGCAGGAGGTGTGCAGGAGGCAGCTGATCGATGTTTCTGACTCTCTATCCCTCTCCCTTCCTCTCTGTAAAAAATAAAAATAAAAAAATATATATATTAAAAAAGAAAAGGAAAATCTCCCACCTGCAGATAAAAAGATACTATGATGCGTCTCAGGAATTCATTGGTTCAAACGGAACCATCAGAAAAGCACTCTTTTCAGGGTTTTGCCCAGGGCAAGTTTAACATCCTTATTCCTCAGACTGTAGATCAAAGTGTTCAGCATGGGAACCACGTTGGTGTAGAAGACGGAAGCATATTTGCTCCGGCCCGCAGATCCGGGAAACGAGGTGGTTAAGTAGGTGAACGCCCCGGACCCAAAAAACAGAGCCACGGTGGTGAGGTGGGAGCCACAGGTGCCGAAGGCCTTGGACCGCCCCTCGGCAGAAGGGATGCGGAGGATGCTGGAGAGGATCAGCGCGTAGGAGATGACGATGCTGACGCTGGAGGTCGCCATGACCATCCCGACGACAACAGAAAACACCAGCTCGTTGGGGCGGGGGCTGGTGCAGGAGAGCTGTAGGAGGGGGAGGACCTCACACAGGTAATGGTCGATGACGTTGGAGCCACAGAAGGTCAGTCTCAGCATGTTCCCGGTGTGGGCCATGGCCCCGGCAAACCCGACCCCGTAGGAACCAGCCACCAGCAGAGCGCAGGCCTGGGGGGACATGGTGACCGGGTACCGCAGGGGCCTGCAGATGGCCACATAGCGGTCATAGGCCATGCACACCAGCACGTAGCACTCAGAATTGACCAGGAAGCAGAAGAAAAACAGCTGGGCCATGCATCCCGCGTAAGAGATGACGTTTTCCGACAAGAAATCGTGCAGCATCTTGGGAGTAAAGGCGCAAGAGTAGCAGAGGTCGATCCAAGACAAGTTGAAGAGGAAAAAGTACATTGGTGTGTGCAGGCTGGAATGCAGGCCGATTAAGGTGAGCAAGCCCACGTTGCCCACCACGGTACACACATAGAGCCCCAAGAACAGGAAGAAGAGGGGGAAATGGACCGCGGATTGTCCCGAGAATCCCCCAAAGACAAATGCGGTCACTGAGGAGCTGTTCCTCAGAATCATTCTCTTCTGGGGGAGCTGTCTGTGGAAACAAGGGGTACAATACAACAGATTGAGGATAGGCACACGCATGGGTGATGGAAGAGACGAGACCTTGTGCCTTTCTCCTTGTGACGGTGGAACCAGCTCAGAATGGTTCTGTTCTGGTTGACGAGGTGCTCGGTGGCTTTTTAGAGACAACGGACCAAACCCCGACAGGTCCTGCAGGGAAGGCAGGCTCAGAGGAGAGACCTTTGGCCCCAGCTGCACCTGGAACCGAAATCTTGCACGTCCTGCCGAAACCGGTTTGGCTCAGTGGATAGAGCATAGGCGTGTAGGCTGAAGGGTCCCTGGGTTCGGTTCCAGTCAAGGGACACATGCCCAGGTTTTGGTTTGATCACCAGTAGGGGACGTGCAGAAGGCAGCTGATCAATGATGCTCTCTAATCACTGATGTTTCTATCTCTCTCTCTCTCCCTCTCCCTTCCTTTCTAAAATCAATAAAAAAATATTTTTTTTTAATAAAAAGAATTCTGTTCCCCTTGAGAGAGGAGGAGATTGAATACCTGACTTGGCTGCCCAAGGACTCTCAGAAAGACACACCCCAAGAGCCAGGCGTACAACCCAAAGCCCATCACTGTAGGATATACTGAGAGCTTTTATGTCTCCCACTCTCTGCCTCCCTCTCCCAGCCAGACACGGGGTCCTCTGTCCCCAGCTCACCTTCCTCCTAGAAGCCTCTTCGCTCCATCAAAGTCCGTGTTGGAGCAGGGGAAGGATCAGGACATCCTAGACCTGTTGGCTGTGGGTTGACAAGAAGCTCCTTTGGGAAGATAGGATTCAGACATTCTCCTTCCTTCCTCCTGGCTCCCTCAGTGCTGGGCCTGGGGCGTCTCTTTCTCCGTGAGCCCCGAGGAGGAGATGATGTCTGTGCCTAAAGCAGACAGCTCCAGGGATGGTCTCTTCCGATGCCCCTGGTGCTGAGGATCAGAGCTTTTAGAGACCTCAGTCTGCAGGAGCTCTAGACTACACCAATAGTTGTGTGTGTGGATCTTCTCAGCTGGTCCACATCTCCTTCAGGAGAAAAGAAATAGAACCCTCCGCTTCTCCAGAACCCCGGCTACATATTAGGAAGAGCTTTGTGCTGCAGGATGGCCTAGGGAACCTCATTAGGCTCCACCCCGCAGGAATTTCTCAGATGGTCCCTGCAGGGAAGGCTTGGCGCTCTTTGTTTATGGCTGGGATTACGGTGCTCACACAGCATCTTGGGACTCAGGTGTTGCGTTCACACTTCCCTTTTACTTCTGGGACTTCCTGTGGAAGGTTGGGGGGGGCCTCACTTTTCCTCTCCTTCATTCATTCTAATATTAATACGTAATCTTTTTTAAAATTCATTTTATTTATTTATTTATTTATTTATTTATTTATTTTTTTTTTACAGAGAGGAATAGAGTCAGAAACATGGATGAGAGAGAAACATCCACCAGCCGCCTCCTGCACACTCTCCTCTGGGTATGCGCCCACAACCAAGGTGCATGCCCTTGACAGGAATCGAACCCAGGATCCCCGAATCCGAAGGCTGATGCTCTATCCACTGAGCCAAACCGGTCAGGGCACTAATACTTAATTTCGACTTTAAGGAAGAGTGGTCCCAGACTTACGTTTGCCACCATTCCCAAGTTTTTGAAGGGAGTTTTGAGGATAATAAAACAACAACAAAAAAAGAGTGAGATCAGAGTTGCAGGCGCTCCAGAGAGAGCACCTCAGACGACGTGTTCCTAGCCCTCAGAACAGGTGGAGCCGGGCCTGGGCCTGGCTCCACCCAAGGCTCACACAAGAGTACATTCCTATGATGTGTATTCCTCCCTAAACACGAAGGAGGTGCAGTGCTGGACAGTCATGGACAAGCAGCTCTTTTTATCCCGTCTTTTTTTTTTTTTTTTTAATATATTTTATTGATTTTTTACAGAGAGGAAGGGAGAGAGAAGATAGAGAGTTAGAAACGTCGATGAGGGAGAAACATCGACCAGCTGCCTCTTGCACACCCCCCACTGGGGATGTGCCCGCAACCAATGTACATGCCCTTGACCGGAATCGAACCCGGGACCTTTCAGTCCGCAGACCAACGCTCTACCGCTGAGCAAAACCAGTTTTGGCTTTGTACCCCTTCTTCTTCTTCTTCTTCTTCTTTTTTTTTTTTTTTTAAATATATTTTATTGATTTTACACAGAGAGGAATTGAGAGGGACAGAGAGTTAGAAACATTGATGAGAGCGAATCATCAATCAGCTGCCTCTTGCACACCCCCGACCGGGGATGTGCCCGCAACCAAGGTACATGCCCTCGACCGGAATCGAACTTGGGACCCTTCAGTCTGCAGGCTGACGCTCTATCCACTGAGCCAAACTGGTTTCGGCTAGACAAGAAAATACTAATTTGGGAATTGGGGGCCAGGCGGGAGCCCAAGAGAGGACTATGCTTTGCTCTGGCCTTGAGATCCCTTTTATTCAGGCTTGGGATCCACCCATAGGCCTTAGACAGGCAATTTCAGTAACAGCTCGATGATAGCCCAACAGCAAGGATTTACAAGGATGTACATGAGACTGAAAGGCGGAAGTTGCTTCAGCCACCATGGTCTCGACTAAACAGTTGGGCGTAAGGCTCTGACCCTTATCAGAGCCCCAAGGTTGACCAGCCTTCCAGACTCCTTGTCCACCTCTTCCTGCCCGTGAAGGCGATGGGCAGGTTCCAACCAAGTGACACAAAGAAACAGGAACATCTCATGTTGGCAAAGACAAAGACAAAGACAACCTACCGATGGATGGCACATGCTGGCGCTGGTGGTGCCAGCAGGAGTGGGCAGCACGGACTGACCAGATGGCTGTGTGGTGTGACTTGGCTGCAATTCCACCCCCTGGCCTCCTCTCCATCCTTCCTGGCTATGAGAGCTGGCTCCCCAACTTGTTCTGAGAGCCTATGAACTGAGAGTGCCATTTCTTGCCAATTAACACTCTTATTTTTGGTCCCAAGTTAACCAGGACCTTCTCCTGCTGTTTGCAGTGAGCAAGCCTGGATGGTATGATGGAGCTGGAGACGAAGGAGGCTGTGGGCAGGGAGTGGAGCCGGGCAATCTTCTCATGTCCCTCAGATGAAGGCAGGCACACCTGTCAAAATCACCTTCTGAAAGGGGTGTAACAAACTCTCCCTAACCGGTGTGGCTCAGTGGATAGAGCGTTGGCCTGCGGACTGAGGGGTCCCAGGTTTGATTCCAGTCAAGGACATGTACCTTGGTTGCGGGCACATCTCCAGTAGGGGATGTGCAGGAGGCAGCTAATCGATGTTTCTCTCTCATCGATGTTTCTAACTCTCTATCCCCCTCTCTTCCTCTCTATAAAAAAAATCAATAAAAATATATTAAAAAAACACAAAACTCTCCCTCAAAGTTTTGCTTTATTTTAAACAATCTTTCCCCTTCCAAGGACATGTTGTTCCGATGGGGTTTGGAGGATAAAATAGACGCAGATGTTAAATTTTAGAGACAATTTTTCATACTCCTGCACAACTGTTTTTAAAAAACAACAACATTCAATTCTTTGATGACTCCTCTTTGCTTTAATAAGCTAAATTACTCTGGTTAGCAGAACAAATAATAAGTTTCTATGCTGGGTAAACAGAAATGCATTTAATGACTCATCTGGCTAGCTTTTTAAATGCAACGTAGGCTATACCGATAATAATGATGTTGAACATTTAAGGAACTAATGGCACAATAATTGTTAAAAAGGTTTTTAATTTGTTTTGAGAGAGAGAGGAAGGGAGAGGGGGAGAGGAACATTGATGTGAGATCAGAACATCCATTGGCTGCCTCCTACATGCCCCCAACCATCTAAAAATATGCAACTCACAAGCAATTGGGCTGGGTACGGGGGAAGAGGCAGAAGGGCCAGAAAAGTGGAGTAAAAGGAGATGTTTCTCTCTTTGGAAATAACTGTAAATGAACATGCACTACTCAGTCAGCATCTATATGGAATGGACTGTAGAAATAATCTGATGGCGCATAATCATTTCCATAGAATCAGGCATGAGCGCAGAAGGAGAAAATGATTGTCTCAAGTTCAAACAATAAGTTTGTGGACATGTCGGTAGCAGGAGGCAGAGGACCTGGCAGGGATGGAGAGAAAACTAATTGAGCACTTACTGTTTCATTGTCTTAGTAATTCTTTAAAAAAAAAAAAAGTTAAAGATAAAGGCGATGATGCTCAAAGACATTGAATAACTTGGTTATGGTCTCATGGCTGCAGAGGAAGAGCTGAGAGTCCAAATCTGATTCTACCCTGCAGCTCCCAAGTCCTTGCTCTTTCTGTGTCTACATTCGTCTCCTTTCCCCACCACACTCACCGCATTCAGTGCTGCCCACCGATTCTGTGTCACCTAAAGCCCTCGCGCTTCACTCTCATTCTATTTTTTAAAAAATATCCCTATTGATTTCAGAGGGAAAGGAAGAGGGAGAGGGAGAGAAACATCACTGTTGAGAGAGAATCATTGACAGGCTGCCTTCTGCACGCCCCACACTAGGGATTGAGCCCGCATCCTAGGCATGTGCCCTTGACCGGAATCGAACCTGGGACCCTTCAGTCCGCAGGCCGACGCTCTATCCACCGAGCCAAACCAGCGAGGGCCTCTCTCATCCTTTTGAATTCATGTTTGCTAGGACTGACCTGTGCCATCTCAAAGGCAGAACTCTCTATCCATCCACACTTCATTTTTCCAGACACAAGAGCATCTTCCCAACGAGAACCTGGTAAGTCAAGGGTATGTTCACAGCATCTCACAGCAAGTGACCTTAGGTTTAAAACTGAAATGTAAGAAGGGGTAAAAAGAGCTGCTTGCCCATGACTGTCCAGCACTGAACCTTCTTCGTGTTTAGGAAGGAATACACATCCCTGGGAATATAGTCTTGTGTGAGCCCAGGTCCCAGGCCCAGGTCTGCTGGTGAGGAACAGAGTGACCTCAGGGAAGGTGCCCA